TATATATATATATATTGTTAAGAGCCGATTGCTCTTACCCAGGTCCATTGGAATTTTGGAGAGATTTAGTCAGAGATACCTTTAAAGTTTAACAGAATTTATTAAAGATTACAAGTAAAAACCCACCGAACAGATTTGCAAATCTGGGAGAATGCTGGACCGATACTTCCCTTTGATCGTCAAAGCAGCATCTCATCACATCCCTGCAATTCTAAGCTTTTATAATCAAGTCCACTTCTTATGTAATTCCTGAGAATCATACATTATCAAACAGCTGTAGCTGGTCATGCCGTCTTCCTGCTCTGCCATTGGTTCCATTAATCTGCACAGCCTTGAAACGATAAGGGACCCGAACTTTGACCCTGTTCTTCAAACATGTTTTTGACCAAAATGACACKCCCACACAGTGAAATTAAAAACACTGACAAGATTACTGATTTTGAAAACCTTGAACACAAGACGAACTGATTATTAACAGAACACAAAATAAAGTTTAAAAGTGTTCGACATTTCTACAATACCCTCTCTTGATCTCTGCCAACATAGAGATCAATACCATGTGTCCTCCAGGACCACTTCAGATTCTAAGGGCGTCCCTGCTGTGGTCAAAAGAGGCATCATGATCCCCTTATTGATCTCCCCTCTCTCGATAGCAGTTGTGATTATTCGAACAAAGAGAGATCGAATGCACGGGATACAACAACAACCACGCTACTACAATACCAATAAAAACACCAAGAGATAGCAAAACAGACATGACCACACTTTTCCACTGTCCAAGCGTCCGGGTCATCCAGTTCCCCAATGGATTGTTTATTCCTGACTGCTCATGCATAGTTTCAGACAAGGTTCGGAGTTCCTGTAAGGCCCTAGTGACCTTCCCGTCCGGTGACGTGTTGTTTGGAATGAACACACAACAAAAACTGGAAAACATTGCACAAACTCCGCCCTTTTCTGCTAACAACATGTCCAATGCCATACGATTCTGGACGGCCATCAGAGATGTTGGTGCTAGTTGCTCAGAGAGGCCTTCTATTGCATCTCTGGTCAGGTTAGCTAATCGAAGAACGTTGAAATGAATGTAATTAATTCGATCAACATTTTTATTAGGTGTTATGGGAAATATGGCTGAAAGAATTGGAATATTCTCAAACCCGGCCGCAATTTGATCAACTAGTTTGTACTGGTCAGGTACRCCTCTTGGCACCCCGATAGCATCTAWATAAGTCTGGGAATTGGTGGTCATGTCCCAGGGGTCCGCAATTTCTCATTTCATCAGGACATGATGCTTTCGTCGTGCTGTTAATGTTGCTGGGGTAGTCGGAGTTGCATGAACGGTTTTGCTTCCTATTATCATTAAGGGAACTGCCAATCTAGTCATGGCACAKACTCCTATAGCATTGATAGGGATACCACAGACATTCTCTGTCCTCCACAATAATAATCTATACCTGATCGCACGTACATTCCAATATAACTTTCAGCTCGCATAGTTTTACTTTCATTCATTACTTGGTACGTCAAATTACACCACTCAGGGTCAATCCGTCCATAATCTTTAAGAGGGGTAGAGCTGGTAAGGTTAAAACACACATATCGATCACTACTGTGTGGAGTAAAGGCTCCTGGTTTAGTGTTATTATCTATCACTGGAAAAATGCTAGCTGGGTTTGTGCAATTTTTTGGTGTAGGTGTTCTTGTCAGCTTCAACATGCATTCAAAGCCCCACGTATCATCTGGATACAGGGGGGCAGGTTCCGTGTATAATTGAGGTCTGCCTGATGCGCATGCCACACAATCGCCTACATTTTGCTCTTTGGCAGATTGAATAAGCCAGTCAAGCCATAAGTTACTATCTGTGTAACCTGTGGTGCGTTCAATGATGTCTAGGGGTTTACAGTAAGTCTAGTATAATCTACCGCGATCACCTTCTCTCTTTCCTCAGGCTGATAAGGAGTTGGTGTTGTCCTATTTTGCACAACGTTACTGTAGTTAACTAAAAATGGGTCAATAAATTGTATCATAGCAAACCCTTGTGGATCTCTCCCTGCYACATCTGCCCCTATTATAAAAGAGTAATAAGTTGAGTTCTGCTCCTTAAAATCATACAGCGGTGGTCCCCACTGTCCCTGAAATGAAACYGATATTAAATTTCTACGGGGGGAATAATCTCTCTGAAAGGTAACGTTTTTCCACCACTCTCTCAATGGCTCCTGGAGTCCTTTTGCTGTGGGAATCCAAGACCCAGTGTAGTGAGTGGTGTGCTCCCATTTACAGGAAGGCATCCGAACGAGCTTATAACCTTCATCACCCTGAGTGAATGGATGTAAAGCGAGTCCGGGTCCTCCCTCCCCTTGAACGAATGGGGGTAAAGAAACCTGGGAGGGGCCCAAGGGATATGCTCCTGCTCGTAACACCGGATCTACACATAAGTAAAGATTGTATTCTCTAAAGGACTAGTCTTTCCCTCGACAATCAATTACTTCGCAGAGATCAAATTGAAATGTGGTGGTGCTCCCTCGAGGAAGACCCATTTTGTCATATCTAATTCTATGCATTCTTTAAGGTTTTTTCTGTGATTTCCTGGCCCGTCACTACGTTTGGTATCTATGCCGCGTTTTGATCGGAAAGGTGTTGTCTTATCTGAAGGGAATGGATGACYGGAGGTGACAGTGGAACCACATGCCTTATTATCTGGAAAGACACCAAAGAATTCACACAAGTGATTTATTCCCACAATCCCTACTAAAATTAGTCCTGCAATCATCACCCACTTCCAACTTCCCTTCATCATAGGGAGAGATGTGTTTTTCGCCTCCAGTATTCCAAACGGTCTCATATTGAGACTGTTTCTATTTTAGGCCTGATTCATTTCTATTTATTTAAAGTAATGCTTAACTTTTGTAGTTTTGAAGATTTAATTTTGAAATTTTTAACTTTATATTATTATTTATTTAACCTTTAGAGTTTTAGATTTATGTTATTATTGATTTAAAATAATGTTATGTTTAACTCTTTAACCTTTAAAGTTTTAAATTTAAATTTAAATTCAAATGAGTAAAACTTGTAGGTAGTAGAACTCGCTGTTCTGTGTATGTGCAACAATGATCTGAGATGCATAAAAACAAGTTAAATATATAGAACAGTGAAAACACAAGATGGTCCACTGCAAAAATTGTCCATCTAACCAAGACCAGCAATCTATCCAAAGAACGTATTCTGTTGATCATATTGACACTGATATAGGCGTACTAAACAGGAACCGAATGTGTACAATGTTAAYCTGTAAATTTGACCTGAATTTAGTGAAATGATCTGCTAACGGAGTAACACAATTGCCTTGGTATGACAGTTGACTACATGTATTTTGAATAAAATTTTAGGAATTTTATGAAGTGCAACTGTTTTAGCCCTCCTGGCAGATTATTGCACTTAATTTGTTGCAGGTGTCCCCAAACATTCCCACAAACCACTGTGCACCGTTTTATTACCTTTTTTTTTTTGCTTTTAAATGCTAGACAGTTAGTCTAACACATTTTTTAAAATATACGTTTTATTAAATCCCAGGACCAAGAAGTAATAAACATGATTACTATCCTGACTGAGCTCCAGAACTCCCTTATCGAACTTCTTCAACAAATTGAGGAACATCTTCAGCCCCCACTCATGTTGGTSTTTCAGCCAAGTCTCACAAGAACCTCTGGAAGGCCAAGGTAACTCCCCAGTATGTGTTGTGTGAACTCATTATATGAGTACTATGAGAAATGTAAATGTACTTTGTCAAATGTTTAAACCAAGTTCAATATAAAAATCATAGACTATGATAAATAAATCAAGCTTTAACCATGTGTCAAGTTCAAGGCCCATTGGCCCCGTCTGGCCCTTGGGTGATATCTGTAGGCGTTTTTCCAACCGGTTCCGTACAGCTACACACTTCACCTTTTTTCAGTTTGCGTTTTTCCACTTGTAAGTACGGCTCCACTCGGCGGTGGTTTTCCACAGTAACTAGTGTCCCCGCTCTGTGGGCGGTAACGTCTTTTAAAAGTGGGTGGCGCTGAAGCTGCTGTTTATTGTTGCTCATTCTGTGCTACAGCTAACTGTTGACATCAAAARTCTGATATTTAGTCTGTAAATAATACTCATATCCTACTACAGTAAAACCGTTGCTTATAAATGCAATAAAACAAACCAAAAGGCTTTTCTTATAAATTAACTTACAGTTACTGCACATGTTATGCTTTTGAGTGTGAGAGACTCACTGTCTGCTTATGTCTCTGAAGTTTGTGAAGAGTCCAGGGAGCGAGCCCAGGACCTTCTTGTTGTGAGGCATCAGTGCTAACTAATGAGTCATYTTGCTGCCTAAATTTTGCATTTATGAGAAAGTTGTCTAATGTAAGGTTCAAGAGCATGTGTGCTTGTTCATTCAAATGACGAATGGTGATCAATACATTAAGTTTTTGACATGTTTAATTTTTGAAAATATCCATTGCTGTTTTTAGAAATTATTTTCAATATGTTATGCACACAGGTACATACTTTCCAGGGATCAGTTGCTTCTGCTTCGTGAAGCAGGAATGTCATGGGCATCTGTTTCTTTTTGGTTGGGGATCAGCACTCGAACATTGAGAAGACGACGACACGAAATGGGAATGAATGAAAATTTTGACACCATTTCTGATGATCACCTGGATGCTGTCATCAGAAATATCATTACTCAAACTCCTAATGCTGGAGTTACATTGGTTCAAGGTGAGTTCAAGTTTCTAAACAACTGTTTCTATGAAACCTCCGATTGATGCTCCAAAAAATGCCTCTACATCCACAGATGAAAAAACTGATCGGGGCCACAGTGTCAAGTTTAAACTATTTATCTAAAAAATGAACAACATACCAAATCTACACATGTAAACAAAATACATAAATGACTTTTCATGATAGTAATTGAGAGAAACAGTTCAAATAATTGTCTAGTTCCAATGGACTGTCCACAGCTGATTTGACCTCCTGAATTCCACCTACTCTCAATTAACCAAAATTCTTGCTAAGCTTTTTTTTAAACAGGCTAATTTAAATTAAGTCATCCAAGATACACTCACCGGCCACTTTATTAGGTACATCACACTAGTAACGGTTTTGTGTTCATAAAGGGATGGACATGGTCAGCAACAATACTCAGGTAGGCTGTGGCGTTGCAACGATGCTCAATTGGTACCAAGGGGCCCA